AGGTTCAGGCACCTGGTGTCTCCCTCACCTTGAGTGAGCTCGGAACTTAGACAACAGGAGGTGCCCACGGCTGTGCAGCTTGGAGACCGACCTGCGAGCCCCTGCAAAAGCGCTGCTGAGGCTCGGAACTCACTGTTTATGACAGGGCTGAGTGCTTCCGGGCCGTGTTTAGTCTGGGAGCCCTGCGCTCAGGGCCACCCCTTCCCTCTGCTTTGCCCCACACTCCCCTAACGCACAGGGGATGGACAAAGTGACATCATTCCCACGAGCCATCACCCAGCCCGGATAGACCCTGGGGGAGCCCGGGGAAGTGGCGGCAGACACATCAGAACCAATTAGGAGGGATTAATTGGTGATTTCCTCCTGTGCCAAGGCCTCTCCCAGACAGTCATGGAGTTTTAAAAAGCTCTGTCCTCAAGCATCTTCCAGCTGGCAGAGGTGTTCAAAGCCAACCCAGATGACGCCACTCCAAACCACGAGGCCACAGTTACAACCAGGGCACCTGATGATGCCTGCATGCCGCACCCACACGGGGCTCCCTGCTGAGAGGAGAAGGGACAATTCTGAGTCCACCCAGGCGTGGTAACACAGGCCTCAGGAGGCTGAGGCAGGAGGCCTGTCACAGAGACCAGCCTGGGCCACACAGTGAGACCCCTATCACAAAAAAAAAAAAAAAAAAAACACCTAAACTGAACAATCAAGTAATAAAAATCCAGATGCTTAGCAGCCCACTGGGTAGCCTGATCCCCCGGAAAACTGCCTGAGGAGGGGCAAACTGAGAGGTGACCCAGGAGCATGAAAGCAACAAGGGGAGCAGAAGGGAGGGCTTCTGTGGCCAGCCCCCCTACCACCACATCATCACATCACAGGTCTGCAGTACCAAGCATCAGGCTGGGTCAGCAGACACCCGGGCTGCAGGGAATGGGCTCATGTCCTGCAGGGAGAAGTGTGTGGTGCCCAGTGACATGGAGGGCTGTAGCTGGAGTGCCCCGAGCAGAAGCCATGGACACCAGGTGAGGGATCCCAGCTGTGGGAAGAGGAGAGCATGACTCCTCATGGGTGAGTAACAGCAGCTCGGGGGTCACTGTGTGGCTGGTGCAGCATCGGGAAACAGCAGGGGGCACCAGCGAGCTAAGGGGGGAGCTGGCCTTGGACCTGGGTCTGGGAGGGGGTGGTAGCCTGCTCTCCAATGGCTGGGCGTGGCCTTCTTGGGGTGACATCACAGGACCCCAACACCTCCTTACAGGAGCAGCCGGGCATCCAAGACACACCCAGCGTGCAGAGCTGAGGTCTAGGCCGGGAAGGGGCCCTAGGATGCAGGAATTAAGTCTCAAGCCGGTCCCCTCCTGGGCGGAACACCCCCAAAGAAATGCACAGTTAGAGCACAGCCCAGGCCCATTGTCCGCATGAGAATGGGAGGAATATGGCTTTCGTATTGTTCTCGGCTGACATTTTTTAGTGGCTGTTTAACAACAGCAGGAAGAACAATGCCTGAACAATATTATTTTAGGCATTCTATTGTGGCCTTTGCTTATTCTGTCCCAGGAGCTCCAAAGGCCAAGCCTGTGGAGAGACACTTTAACGAGGTTAATCCCCTTTCTACCAGGAAGGAGAGTTGTTAGCAGAGTTTGCTGTTCACAAACATCTGTGAGAGGCCGGGCGTGTTCACATCTGATGCCCTGCCCGATAGCTAGGGGATTTATTTCATCACATCCCTTGTGAGTCCCTTTGTCTGCAAAATCTTTACCAGCTCTTCACTAAATAACCAGAAGTATGCACCAGGCCTGTTAATGAGTAATGTAGGGTTTTGTGAGTGCCCTGTCCCTGGGCCTGGGGTAGGTTTTCTAGGTCAGTTCCTACAGGCACTCCTGCCCAGAGGCAGTCATCCATGTGGAACTCCCCTGCACCCCAGGGGACACCAGGGGGCCGGCCACCTGGGGCAGGGACTCTCCAGGCCCGGAGCTGGGATCTTTATCTGTCCAGCTCTCAGTCCCTGCCCCTCCATTCCTCTCTGTCCCTTGGGGACCCAAGGTCGTAGTTAAGGATCAAAACAATGGCATCTGCTGTCTCCATCTCTGGGGAGAGAATGTTTGGGTTATCGTGTAATACAAAGACCCTCAGGCTGGACAGCAGACAGGCAGTCTTCTTGCCACAACACCCGGGGGTGAGTTACAGCTCCTGTGTCTCCCACATACTTCAGAGCTGGAGTGGCCTTCCAGAAGTTTCCTGATTCTCCAAAGCTGGCTGTGCCGCGGCCTGGTTTCCCCTCACTGAGGCACTGACCAGCCCAGATTGTGGGGCCTCTTTCCCAGCATCTCCTGCCTTTCTGTGACCTTCAAGGGGACAGGGCCCATTTGCACCTTTTCAGGGACAGCGCCTGGCTGGAGCAGGCCTGGGGGGAGGGGTGCGGGTTTAGAAGCCTGTGCGGGATGAAGGAAAAATGAATGGGTCCTTGAGAGGAGGGGCAGCCCTGCCAGGGAAACTGAGTCACAGGATTCCAAGAGTCCCCAGTCATCTGCTCTGTAAAAGGAGACATGAAATGCGTGCTCCTCTGGGCCCCCAGCATGTACTCACTACAGCAGGCACTGATACCTCTCCATGCACCACATGAGGTACATGACAGGTCGTTACTGGGTGGCCCCCATCCCACAGACAAAGGGCACTGCAACTGAGGACAAGGTCACTGGCACCATCTCCGCTGCCGTGGGGCCGCCCGAAGGGACCAGCCTGTGCATCTGGGGTGGAATGCAGTCCATTCCCGCAGGAAATTAAATCTCACTCTGCTACGCTTTGGGTCACTGGGTCCCAGCAGCAGTGACTAAGGCCAGGCGGTGATAAGATGGGTGGGCAGGCAGCCCCAAACTTCGGTGAAAGGTCACACTGCCAACCCCGAGAAGTCACAGAGGGGGCGGGAGGCGCTGCATAAACACGAGGAGAAGTAAGGGACCAGGACATGTGGAGGAGAAACCTTGCCTGCCCCTCCTCTCTTGGCTAAGAAAGAAAAGATGGGGAAAGGTATGGAGTGGGGTTTGGGAAACCTGTCCAGAGTAAATGAGCAAGGACCTCGGCCGAGATGGTCAGGTGCAAAGCTAAACAGCCTGGCACACAGAAAACAAAATAGTAACAAGCAGAGCCCACATCTGTGGTGGCAGGGTAGGCACAGCCCAGTCTGGAATACAGTCGGGCGGCCTGAGGGGGCCGCTGCCTGAGGACTCGGCCTGCTGGCTCCTGAGCCAGCATTTCACAGAATTGCAGGCTCTTCCTCAACCTTTAGTTTTAAATCACTTTTTACTTGGATTGATACAGGAGTTATTTCAACATCTTGCTGTACCTAACAGCCTATTTTGGAAGCAGGTAAGTAAAACTGTTGTGGACAACATGAAAAGAAAGATGAATTTAAACATTGCCAAAATATTATTTTTAATAAATTTTCTTGGATGCCCACGAATCAAATGCACATTGCTTCTTCAGTCTAATTGAGCCAGGAAAATTACAACACAATAACATCTGTGAGGTCAGCTGCCAGAGGGGCCACATACCAGGTGTCTTAAGCCACTTGAGATACCTGGAAGGACAAAGCAAACCAGTGGCCAGGAATGCACTTGGCCTCTAGAAAATAGTTAAAATAATCCAAAAGTCAACAGTGATGAGTTTGATTTTTCAGGCAAGAACAGGAGTCTGCCTATGTGAGCAGTTTGTTCTTTTTTTATTTAATCCTGGCTGTTTGAAAGGCTCTCTCTTCCAATCAGCTCTGCCTGCTAACACTGTCAAAGACCCCTGATTTCCCAAGAGAACTTTCTCTGGTTTGCCCAGCCATCAGGTCCAACAATCTATCCTTAGAAGTGTTAAACCTTTCCGTGGATATTCTTAAACCCAAATAAAGTGTTCTCAAGCCAATGCTTTGGGACGGTCTCTGCCACTGTCACCGAGGGACAGTAAAACGCAGGACAGCTGAGACCAGGGTGCAGAGACCCCTGGAGCTGACCAAGGATGTGAACCCGGCCCTCTCTGTGCCCAAGGAAGGCGCTGGTGCGCAGGGCCGGCCCTCGGCAGCAGGAGCAGGGTGTGTATAGTAACAGTTTATTCCAGTAAGTAACAGTTAAAACTCCACGCACAGCCGAGGAGCGGGTAGCATTCTTCTGGAAGAGAAGCGAAATTCTTAAAAAGGAAAAAACAACAATAACAAATCAAAAGATTAACAAATGGTTAAAAAGTAAGCGTGGGAAATCTGGCAACCAGCAAAACTCCTTTTTAAGCATTTTGAGGGGAAGAGCAGCGTGTGCCCAGAGGCCACACCTTCCCGCTGGAGCCACGGCCCAGGCTCCCAGCAGGAGTTCTCCTCCTCAGAGCCACTCGGAGTGGTAGTGGAAGCCTCGGACGCTGCGACACTCGAGCCTTTCTGGGCCAGCACAGAATCGGAGGAAATGAAAAGTTGAAACAATCTGTGCGTGGAGCAGGAGATGCAGTTTCACTTTAGCTTTACACTCATTAAAAATGTGGTCGTGATTTTTAAACTAATCACAGGACTTTAAAAACTAGATGCACACAGCGCCTGACCAGAGTCATAAACAAGAGGAACACGCCCAAAGCGACTCGCGGGCACACGGTTGGGGGACTCTGCCCCGCACAAGGGCTGCGCTTCCAACCCCCAGCCAGACCCATTCGGGCGCCCAGGGCAGGTGAAGGCGCCCAGCTGGGGGTGGGGGGCACGGCGGCTGCGACGCGGGTTCGAATCCCGCTGCCGGACACCCTCGCCCAGCCACTGCGCTGCGCACGGCTTCTCTTCTCCCCGGGCCAGGAGGGCTTCCCTAACTCTCCGCGCCGGGCTATAACAAAGGAGGCTCGGTGGCGGTCGCGCAATCGCTGCCTGCAGGGATCCCCGGCGGGACAGGCCGGGCGAGCGCACCTGGGAGCCCGGGGTCGGCCAGGCGCGCGGGACAAAGAGGCCTCGCGGGGCGCGGGGCACTGGGCGCGGGCACGACGAGCCGGCCGGGACTCACCTTGGCGGCGGCCCGACTGCGTTCCTCGTGGAGCAGAAGGGCGACGGGCAGCAGCAGCAGCCAGAGGCCAAGCCGGGGCCCCATGGCGGCGTGCGCAGGGCGGCGGGGTGCGGAGGGCGGCGCGGGGACCTTGGAGCCGGGGAGTGTGGCGCACCGTCCCGGGCGCGGCGGCTCCTAGCGGAGACCTGAGCGCGGCGGGCCGAGCTCCCCAATTTGTTGGCGCTGCCCCCTCCCCTCGGCAGTGCGCGGGCGGCGTCTCAAAGGGGAGGACCCTGCGAGGCGGGTAAGAGGCGGCGGGAGCGCGCAGCTCGCAATTGCGGCGGCCGCGGCCAGTCAGGACGCCGGGCTCCGCGCTGCGCCAGTCGTGTGCGACCGATTTCTGCGCCCCGCGATCGCCTGCGCCCCGCGATCGCCTGCGCCCCGCGATCGCAAAACCGGGCCTAGTTTCGCAGAGGGGACGCCCGGGTCCCTGAGGCCGCGCCAGCCTGTGTCCCCGGCGCGCGCCCTGGGAGTGGCCGATGAGCGCAGGCGGCCGCGCCTGACGCCCACCGAGGTGAGAGTGACCCCAGGTCTGGGGGAGCCGGGACCGGGAATCGCGCTCACCTAGCCGGGCCTACGGGCAGGCGCCCTTTCTACCCGCGGCAGGACAGGCCTGTGTCTGGGCACCTCTGAGGAACCTGGGCGCACCCCGGGCGGCAGCCTGGCTGCAGCGGGTCCCTACTCCCTGTTAACCCGCTTTGTCTCGGCCGCAGGACTAGGAGGGAGCGAGCCGCGCCGACTTCGCCCGCAGACTCGCCATGGGCCCGGTGCTGCGCAGGTAAGCGACCCCGCCTCCCCCCACGCGCAACTTTCGGTAGTGGGCGAGCGCGGTCTGCCCGTTCACGTCCTCTCCTCCTCCCTCCTCCACACAGGTGGCTGCTGCTGGGCGCCGTGACAGCGGGGCTCTTGGCCCACAGCGTCTTGGCGGTAAGTCCCGCGCCACGCTCTGGGATGCGCGCCCGCGACGGTGGGGACGCGTGGGGCCATCGGAATGTGCGCCCGCGAGGATGGGTGTGTGTGTGTCTCACGTCCCGTGCACCGCAGGCATCGGCACTCGGGCGGGAGCTAATCATGAAAAACAGCCTGGGGCAGCCTTTCCCTAGGTTCCTGGAGCGGAGCTCCGGGTGGAAGTTGGGGTAGAAAGTCAGGCACTTGGCGGGAGACGTTGGGGAAAGCGGGGACAAGAGCGCGGACTCCACTGCGGAGTGGAAGCAGCGCCTGCGGCGCAGGACTTCTCGGTATTGAAATTTGAGGCTCTGAGGGAATGGGCGGGGCGAGAAGGCGGAGAACTGGATTTAACCTCTACTGCTGCCGGGGAGGAGGAGACCGGTCCAGCCCTGGTCCAGCTGCGGTTGCGGGGCGCTAGCCCGTGGCCCTGTGTTCTGCGCACAGCCCCCCAGGCGGCCTTGCCAGTGTTGCCAAGGCCTTGCAGATGGCAGGCCTGGTCTTGTTTAAAGCGCGACCGCACCGCGGTTGCACTCTGGTCTCCGTGGCTGGGTCTCTTCAGGAAGCTGAGGCGCAGGGAGGAGGGTGTCCCCACCCTGGCCTGTTTGGGGTGCCCACCTGCCTGCCAGAATCTGGTCTGTGCTGCCGCCAGCGCTCTAGCTGAGGTCCCAGTGGGAATTAGCCTAGACCCTAGGATTTCACCAGGATTCAGAAATATGCTTTCATTTTATTTGTAAATGTGTGATTTTCACACTATCTTGTCCTAAAATAAGAATAGCAAGGACCCCAGATGCTGGGCGTGGAGAAATCCACATCTCCTGGGGACCAGCTGCCTTAGTCGGGGCTTCAAGGCACAGAGGCAGGGGAGCTCAAAGACTTTGACCACCAGCCAGGGTGTTCTTCCCGCTGCCTGTCTCCTTGCACAGCCAGGACCTACAGAGAGCAGCACCCAGAGACTGCACCAACCCAGTGTGCCTGTCCTGTAGCAGATGGACCCAGATTTAGGGACCACGGCAGCCACACATGCAGACAGCGGAAGTCCCCAGAAAACACCAGGCAGTGTTGGAGTGAGTGTTGCTCACTTCCACTCCCCAGCCCACACCCTCGTTGAACCAGTCAGTGCCTGAGAATGGGGAGCCCAGAAGTCGTGGGGGCCGGCTTCCTATTGGAAGACCAATGTTCAGAACATGACTGTGCCTGTACAGGATGATCTGAGCCTCAGTTTCCACACTTCACAGGAGCTGCTGCCCACATCTTGTCTCAGGGACCAGTACTCTGCTGTGCAGAATGAGGTGCCGGCCTCTCCCACTCTGCAGACCTGGGCTCCCTCTCTGCCCCTGACCGCCAGGAGCATTTGCTGCCTAGCAGAGTCCCCCAAAGTGCAGCCTTTGGGCCCCCAGGATAGTACCTCCTAGAAGGGCTCCGTACTGATTCAGACCTCTGCTTTCCCACCTTGGTGCTCCCATGGACCTTCTGGAAGCCCACATTCCCACGTCACGCAGAAGTTTGGGGGCCACTGAATTGAGAAGTAAATGGAGTCATGTGCCGATTCGTTTCATGACTGGGCTTTAAGATTTCAAGTCTACAGAAAATGATATGTAAATATTCTGCTTGTGATATATTAATATGCACAGTTCATTCAAAAGACATGCAGTTTGTCATGCTCAGCAGTGCAGTAATTAACTTCTGCTAACTTCTCCCTGACCTCTGGCTCTGTGGCTTCTCCCCATGAAACTGTCCCCCCATCCTGAACTGTATTCACTGAATTGTTCTTCCCTATGAAAGTTCAGGGATTCTGTCTTGTTGCCGACTTGTCAGGGCTCTTTCCAGAACTGCATTAGTTCAGTCAAAAAGGAGCCTGGGGGTGTCCATGGGACAATGTGCGGAAGCAGTTGAGCATGGTCAGTGAAAAGTGATTATTTAGTGTTTCCCTGTGCACTCATATATAAAGCCTGCTGGGAAAGTGCTCCCATTTCACAGATGTAGGAGTACAGGCTCCAAGTGTCAGCAGTGTACTGCCTGCGATCCTGTTCTGTAAGTGGCCCACCATTGCGGAGTGGCCTCCAGGTGCCCAGCCAGCTCCCAAGTTTCGCTCTGAGTTTCCATCTCTTACTCCCCTGAGGGTGGGAGCTTTCTCCTTGGTCTTGACCTTGGACTAACAGTGAGGCCCACAGTGGTCTTAGAAAGGGCATTGCCCACTGCTGTGGATCAGAGAGCAGGGCGTGGAGGAAATAGGGGGCTCTGGGGCAGCTCAGAGCACAGCATGGGCGCAGGGCCTCCCCAACTGCAATGTGGCCGCAGGCATGGACACACACAAGGCTAAGGAGCAGAGCACAGGAGACCTGTCCTGAGTGGCAGAGGGCAGAGGGCGCCTGTCCCGCACTGCCCCAAGGCAGTTGTGGCTGCTGGCTGCCGCAGGCACTGCCCATCCTGAGCTGTGCAGTGATGGGGCGTTTGGAGCAGCACCCCTCACTGGCTGCAGGGCTAGCAGTGGGAGGGTACTCCTGAAGCGCATTGGGGTGTCCCGTATAACTCAGGCACTGGGTGGTGTCCCCCAGTCTGCTGAAGGGGAGCTCCTGACCTTCACAGAGGGCCTGCTCCCTGACCTTCACAGACTTGGAAGCCCCAGCTGTGGGGAGCTTGAAGCATTGTTGCTTATCTCAGGAGGCCTTGAGGGCCTGGGGCCTAGTCCTGCTGATTCTGGAGGAAGAAAATTCCAGAGAACAAAGGGCTTTCCTGACATCAGATAGCAGCTGGGCAGCCACCCCATGACCTCAGCTAGGGGACCAGGCTGTCGGCAGGGAGGTCCCCAAAGCACCTTGCACCATGGGGCCCTAGGGGCCATAGGTGTGACTTCCACATGGCCTTCCAGGACTCCAACCTCAAAACTCGCCTGCCTGCTACAGTGCCCCCTTTGCCTTTGGTCTGTTTAGGGGGTGCGTGGGGGACAGGGGTGCATGAGAGACAGGGGTGGCACTTACCCACTACCCATTGTACAAAGTCTGGGTCCCCAGAAGGGATCCCCAGGTCCCTCCTGTGTGAGAGGAGCACCAAGCACACTCAGCCCTAGGGTCGAGGAAGGGAGTTCTCCCTGGGTGGCCGGACCTCTTAACCCCAATAAATAAAAACAAGAGACATCAGCCACTGCCCATGCTGGCAGTGGGCAGAAAGGGGGACAGGAAGATGGGCTCTGGCACCGTCCAGGGATAGATTTAAACCCAGAGAGAGAAAAACTGTGGGATCCAAGAGAACATTCTAGATCAGAAACAAAGCAAAGGTTTTGCTGAAAGATTCAGAAGCCAGCAGAAAACTCTGAAATGGGCCGCTTGCTTCTTGTTGCTGGGTTGGAGTTGGGTCAAGTTTGGAGTTAATTGGGCTTGAGACCCTCCCCAGCTCAGGGCCGGGAACTGCATGTGGTCTTGCTCAGCCTGGCTGTTGACTGAATGTGGACCCCAGGGTGTGTAGTGGGGCGGCAGGGCAGTTGGGGAGCTGTACGGCACTGATGCCCTGCGGAGTGGCTTTCAGGTGGTAACCTCTGGGAGCCCAGGCCAACCCCAAGACCCAGGCTGGCCCTGCACAGTGAGGGCCTTGGTGTGCGCTGGGTCTCAGGTGCCCATGAGATGAGGACACTGCCAGGGCAGGTGGGCAGCCAGTACATGGCAAGGGCTCCACTCTTAGTGGACACCTCTGCGGCCCGGGAATTAAGCAGCACTTAGCTGCATCGGTGGCCACCTCTGGGCTCTCCTCTTCGGCAGCCGCTCCCTTGGGCTCAGAGTCTGCCCTGACCTCCCCCACTCCCCACGCTGGGTCTTTGGTTGTGCTGTGATTGACCGCGGAAGGAGGAGGAGGTGGCTGTTCCTCCTGGGGGATCCTTGGGCTCCCTCAGTCTGTGCTTGTCCTCAGGGAGTGGCTTTAGAAGAACAAGTCGAGCAGGGCCTCCCCAGTGGCCTCCAGGTTGCCCGAGGGGTCCTCTCTCCAGGAGCCAGCCCTGACTGGCCCTAGGATGTGCTGTGCCATACACGAGGCTGCTGGCAAAGCCTCGAGCTCATTGGTAAACCCCTCCCAGAAGTGGAGGTGCCCAGTGTTGAGCGGGTCCTGGGGCAGGAGCCACATAGCAGGGAACCTGGCTGCTCCCGAGGTCCACAGCCTGCCGTGCCGTGCTCGGTCCTTGGCGTTGACGGTAGGGCGTCACGCTCCTTGTATGTGGGTAAAGGGAACCCACGCCAGCTTCACAACTTCCCCAGCAGCATCAATTTCTTTTTCTGATAACAATAACTTTAAAATGGTCCCTTGAGGTCAGCATAGCCCCCCCACCCCACCCCGGCGGTGTCTGGCAGACAGGACGGGAGGCTAAGACAGAGATCTGGTGTTACTGAGCATGGCGCCTGTATGCTCTGGTCCTGTCTCCTGGTGGGCAGCACCCCAGCCTCTGGGTCTCCAGGGAAGGGTCTGCGTGTGCCCAGGACTTCCCTGATGCCACTCCCCAGGCAGCTGCACCATGGAGTCCAAGGATGGGGATGTGCGGCCCCACCCTACTCAGGAGGTCACTGAGAGCCAGTGATGTCACTCTGGGCTCCCAGAAAGTTGCTGATGGTGGCACATGCCCAGGGGCCGGGAAGGTGGAAGTCCTTCATGTGACCTTGGTAACAGAGCAGCAGGTGGAAGGGCTCCCCGAGCTCTGGATGCCACTCTAAACTCATCAGATCCAAAGAAAGGACAGTGTCTCCCCTCAGCAGCTTAGGTGAGACCCTGGGTCGGCCATGGGCAGCCTGTACTGGCTCTGGACAGATGTACCTGGTGTCCCCAGCGTACCTGATGGCTTTGGGAAGAACCTACACATCTGCTCACAAAAGTATTCCATACTGAGTCGGGAAAGTAGAGTTGGAGAAAGTTTGTGTTTTATCCTTGGAGCTGGGAGGGAAAATGTCTCAGGGGGACTGTTCGTGTGACAGTGTGGCTTCCAGAGGACAGAAGACTCAGCC